CTTGAAGCCACTAAACAAGCTGGTTTGACATGGAGGCCGAGTGTTCAGTGATCCTGTTTCCTGAGATTTACACAACTTTACTTCCTTCTTATCCATGTGATTAGCTACCTTGAATCTTCTACTTTCTTGATGATTTCTGCTTATAAATTGTGCTCAGTTTGATACTAATATCTGGACTTACCCTTCGATTGATCGATTGTAATGAATGTTTTTTTTTATTAAACGGTCAAGGGTGCCTTGGCCCTAGGCCGGCTTATAATAACCTCTTCGGTTCGGTTAAAGGCAGGTCATTTACGTTGAGATTAGGATATTCACAAGGGATAAATTCCTCGTGGCCTAACTCAAGAAATTGTCAAGATTCGAGCTCAAGATGTTTAAATTTATAACTCGTACTTATTATTATTTGAGAGCTACCTTGCGAATCTTTGAAAATCTGTTTTCATACTTTTCATTGAAAGTGTGATTTTCAAAACATGTTTTTTCATTGAAAAGGGTCTTGCTTTCATGAAAAAGAATGATAATTTAGTAAACAAATTTGAAATTAAAATTAAAATTACTTTCGAAAAAAAAAAGTTTGAAATTAAAATTGGAAAGAAAAGAGTATATCCCAATTGTAAAAAAAAAAAATACCTCTACATACTGGATTGACAATGGGGTGGTTCATGGTATGGTACAATATGCTCTTTTCTGTAGTAGTTGCAGAGTTCTGGAAGTATTCCATTACTCTGTGGCGGCCAGTTACCACGCTAAGGCCTGCATACTTGTAAAGGATAAAAGAAATGTCTGGTTATATTAAGAAATAAAGAGAACACAACTGTAAAAAATGTTGGAATATGTTTGTGTTTGGGTACATGCAATGCTACGTTTTGTTGCGGCCTCACAGAGAGAGAGAGAGAGAGAGAGAGAGCATGCAAGGTCCACCGACTACCATAGAGAAAAAGGAAAGATAAATCCTTTTTCCGTGCCAAATTGCTGCATTAGTACACGTATCAAGTATGTTTCAAAAGGTTGATTATCAAATTATAGAAAGTTTACGATACTGTCACGATCAAAAATTATAATTTTTTAAGATTAAATTATAATTTTTTGAAGTATAAATTATAACTTGTAAAAAACATAATCAATTATTAAAGTTATAACTTTCAAAAGTTAAGTTGCAATTTTTAAAAGTTATGTTACAATTCGTAAGTGAGAACTTTTAAAGGTGATTAACTGTAATTTTTTTTTTCCAATGTGTAATTTTACCATAAAATTTTATAATTTTCAGTATAGTCTCGATGTTTTTGATACTGTAGACTTTTTCATTAAATTAAGGTAAATTATTGAATCAATGGTTCTCGTTACATCAAAATACCGAAAAATTATTAATTATTATATATATTTTTCAACCAACGAAATTGTGGAACATGCAAAATTTATTTCTTTATTTAACTTTTATTGATTAATCTCGTATTACAATATTATTTGTTGATATAATATCTCTGTTTTTTTTTCATTTCCATAATTTTGTCCTAAAATATCAAATTTTCTTCTAAAGGAAGTAATTTATCAACTGAAAATATCACATTTGATAAGATACCCCATTCTACAATGCTTCTCTATCTTCTATTGTTCTGAAGTGAGATGTTTTTTAATATATTTTCTCTTTATTTTTTAAAATTATTTATCATCAATTTAAATAAATTCATTATATATAAATTAACTAAAAAATAGTATTATTTAGAAGATATCCGGATCTCCAGCTGTCTTTTTCATCTTGTTGATTCTTTTCCACCTCATTGATGCCTTCACTATCCATGAAGATGGAGATCTTGGTGAAGTGACCCCCTGCTACACCTCCAAAGATGTGCATGCCAGCAAAACAATGTAGGAAAGAGGCACTTTGTTTTTTTTTTTTTTTCGTTTGGCCTGGGGAGGGGGGGTTATCGAAAGAGAGCGATGATTAATAAGCAGTATAATTTCTTTGGATCCGATCACGAGAATTCTTTATAAAATATTTAATTTAAATTATAATTATTAATTCATAATATTAATTTGTTACCATAACTATATTAAAATCAAATAACAATTTACGTTATTTCTGTAAATTAAATATTTCTAGATAATTACACGAGACTAATAAAAAAAACACTTGCACCTTATTTTTGATTGAATCACAAATTCACAATCTTTTTTTTGTCATATTATTTTGAATTTATTTGAATTTTTAATTAATTGAATTTATTTTTCAATAAAAATATATCAGCTAGACAATTGAAATTGGGTTGGATTGGAGTTTGTCCAAACCAATCCAATGGAAGGCCGTGTAACGGGGGGAAAAAAAATATCTCTTGTTCTATCCAATCCTCCATGTAGATATTGTTTTTGTGAAGTGTGGGCTCCATGTATTAGTCTACTTAAATGATTTCTGAAGTCACATCAGTTTGACTTTAATTTATTACGATATTCTTTAGGGGTCGACTAAGTATCGTCAAAATATATATATATATATATATATTGATATTATACCTCTAAAATTTATTATTTTAAATAATTTTTTTTATAATTTTTATAATTAAAAATTTTATTATTTTAATGGTTAATTTACCACTTTTACAACTATTTTTTCACTTTTTTTAAGTATAAAAAAATTTATCACTTTTATAAGTGATTTATCAAATTTTTAGATATTTTTATTATATTTGTGAATATTTTTATGTTAGTTATTTTTACTATCAAATATAAAATAAAAATTATATTTCATTATCATACACAGCTATCCAACCTTTCTAGGCAAAACAGACATCAGTAATCATTCCCTTGACTAAACGAAAGAAATGAATGAAGTGTATATAAGGGTGGAATTTATTTATTTTATTTAGATTAATTATAAAATACAATAAAATAAATATATAACACATATATGGTATGATGGTACATTTGGTATCAAATTTTTTATTTAAAATTCAAACTTATCTCACCATACATACGTTATGTCATTTAATTTTTCTCACCATATCTATTTTGTCTTTGGTCCTATCTATTATTCGTTTAACTATATACATCATTTAATTCTTATTTTTAGCCCTCTTTTTATTCATTTGACATTATTTTTTTTTATCACAGTAATTACTGTCAATCTTAAAACAATTATGATTTTAAATACATATAAAACTATAACAAATAATTTTTTTTATCCTGGTAACCCGAATTGGTTATTATTCCCTTGGTTAAATAATTTTTCTAAATTCTGATTATGTGGGACCCTTAGATAATTTAACCCAATCCCCCATTTTCATCTACCTTGATCCAAACAAACAAATAAACATCTCTTATGTTTTTAGTGTATCATTTTGAATTTTTAATTAAATTCAATAAAAATATATTATATATCACTTTTTTATGGAACAAAAAAACATATAATATTAAAAATAGTATTTCATTATCATAAAACTATCCGAACTCTCTTGTCAAACAGACACGAGTAATCATTCCCTAAACTAAAACAAAGACATGAATGGAGTGTATATAAGGGTGGAATTAAAATTTTTAATTGGTAATATTAGATTAATTAAAATAAAAAATAAATAAAATAACGCATATATGATGTGACGGTGTATTTTGTATCAATTTTACTCAATTTAAAATTCAAACTTTTCTCATCATTTAATAAATGACGAAAAAATGATATGATGCTATATTTTGTATCAATTATATTGATTTAAAATTCAAATTTCACTCACCATATATGCGCCACATCATTTAATTTTTGTCACCATATCTAGCGGCGCTGCATCATTTAATTTTTGTCATTCTATTTTATATTCAGTTTACAACGTTGCATCATTTAATTTTTGTCTTTCTATGTTGTATTTAGTTTATAGCGCTGCATCATTTATTTTTTTTCATTCTATTTTGTACTCAGTTTACGGCGCTACATCATTTTTTTTTTCTTTGGCCCTATCTATTATTCATTTAATGGCATGCATCATTTAATTCTTATTTTTAGCCTTTTTCTTAATTCATTTGACATTATCTTTTTTTTTTATCACTATAATTACTATCAATCTTAAAAAAATTATGTTTTTAAATAAATATAATACAATAACAAATACTTTTTAAATCTTTTATCCATTTAACAAGTTTACTGCATTGATAAATTATAATTATTTTGACACTCACCTTATCTATTTATTAATTGTATTAATGAATTATATTTTTTTATTCATGTCTTGTTGGGTTCAAATAAAAAAAATATCATCTATTTAAGTAATTCAATAAACTCTTAGAGCAATTGAGCAGCAGAGAAATATCTTTAATAATTGATAAGTCTCTTTTTTATACTTTCTAAAAGTTGATCACACAAACTATACCTGAGATTTATTTTAAAGTCGATGGTGACGTTCAATCACTNCTTTCTAAAAGTTGATCGCACAAACTATACCTGAGATTTATTTTAAAGTCGATGGTGACGTTCAATCACTTTAAATGACGTGGCAAAATCTAAACTATTGTTTTGAATATAATTATTACAGCACGTCAATAATATAATGTGAGGTAACCATCCACTGTCGGGTAAATAAATCTGCAAGTTAGCATAGTTAGTCCCATAAAATTTCATAACTATGTATATAATCTTTATACGCACGAAAATTCCTCTGCCTCTCTATCAATTCCTCCATTGCCGTACAGATTGCAGAAATCCACAGCTTTTGTAGGAATCAACAGTTCATAACTCTTCTGGAACCATCATCAACCTCACTCTCATTATTACAAAATCCAAAATTAGTTACAGCTTCAGTAACTCCCTTGTTCCCTTTCTCCATCAAATTTGAAGCTTGAAAGCCAAGAAAATGTCACTACATAAGAGTCGCTTCTTTGAGTGTTTTTACTCTGAAAAAATGGCAGAATCATTTGAGGACGTAATCCTTGAGGAGAGAGAAGAGTTNAAAATTAGTTACAGCTTCAGTAACTCCCTTGTTCCCTTTCTCCATCAAATTTGAAGCTTGAAAGCCAAGAAAATGTCACTACAGAAGAGTCGCTTCTTTGAGTGTTTTTACTCTGAAAAAATGGCAGAATCATTTGAGGACGTAATCCTTGAGGAGAGAGAAGAGTTCATGGTTTCACCTACAGGTGGAAACCCAACTCTCAGAAATGCCCATTTTTTGAAACCCATTGTAACCTCCATTGATGGACCACCCTTGAAGCTCTCTTCGCTCTCTCTCTCCTCTGAATCTGAGTGGCCATTGAAGGTTTCCTTCAACGGATGGCGAGATCNTTCACCTACAGGTGGAAACCCAACTCTCAGAAATGCCCATTTTTTGAAACCCATTGTAACCTCCATTGATGGACCACCCTTGAAGCTCTCTTCACTCTCTCTCTCCTCTGAATCTGAGTGGCCATTGAAGGTTTCCTTCAACGGATGGCGAGACCCTCTACTTAAGTGGAAAACATGGGTCGATCGCATGCATTCTTTATACCAATATGTATGGAAAGAAGCTGGAATCTATGAAGCTATCATGGGTTCTACATACAAAATCTATAGAAACTATTATTTGGTTTTTGGGCTTGCGGAGAGATGGTGTTGGGAGACGAAAACATTTGTGTTTCCTTGGGGCGAGGCAACGATAACATTGGAAGATATGATGATTTTAGGGGGATTCTCTGTTTTGGGTGCCCCTGTTTCAAAGCCTCTTGAAACCCAAGAATTGGTTGAAATCGAAGAAAATCTGAAGCAAGCCCACAAAGACCTCGTTAAATCAAAATCACAGAAGGCACATCATTTTCAATGGATTAATTGCTTTATGGGTACTGGAAGCAAATTTGAACATGTAGCATTTCTTTCTCTTTGGTTATCGAGGTTTGTTTTCCCTGGAAATGGCTATAACACTGTTGGGAAATATGTTTTTCCAATTGCAATTCACCTAGCCAGAGGGACTCGGATTGCGCTTGCTCCACCTGTTCTTGCGAGCCTCTACAGAGATTTGAGTTTATTAAAAGAAGCCATTTCTGCTTCAGCCGAGTTGGGTGGTGATGAAAGTGAAAACAGCTTTTTAGCACTTAGTGTTTGGGCACCTTTGGCATTGGTTCAAATCTGGGGTTGGGAGAGATTACCACCATTGCAGCCAAAACCCAATTTCCTAAACTTCGGCGATCCAAGATTGGCTCGGTGGCATCAGATGAAGAAGTTGAATATTGGGAATGTGAGATTGGCTATAGACTCTTCTGCAGATAGTTTTCTATGGCGCCCATATGCCATAGCTGTTGACAACTGGTTGATGCCTAAGTTTTACAAAGAAAAAGAAGAGTGGGTATCTGGCAATCTTGTTTGGGATGAAGAATTTGAATCTTTTGCTAGATGTCTGAGGGTTTGTGAGCTTGTTGGCATAGACTGCATAGAACAGTATCTCCCACATCGAGTTGCAATGCAATTTGGGATGGACCAGGATCTACCAGGATGGGTTTCTCAGTCGGATTGGACTCCAGAAATTGCCTGGCAGAATTACAGCAGACCCATCAGGGATGTAAAACTGTACATTCCACCTAGGCTCTTTGAGTCAGATGTAACTATCCAATACGCACAATGGTGGAAACAGTCAGTTTTAGCTCCACAGGATGCTATTACAGGTGTTGTGAGACGTCCAAGGACTTTGAGGAGATCAAAAAGATTGTGCAACATATCCGAAAGAATGAAAGGAGGCAACGAAGCTGATGTTCCTCCAAAACGTGTAGATATAGGAGGAAATCAGAACACAATGCTACACAATTTGAAAGGATGGAAAGGAATCAACAATGCTGATGTCCCTTCTGACTTTCCTCCCATGTGTGTAGATGTGGAAGGAAATCAAAACACACTGCTACAGAATCTGAAAGGAAGAAAAGGAGGCAACAATGCTGATGTTCCTCCTGGCTTTCCTCCAATGTGTGTAGATGTGGAAGGAAATCAAAACACACCGCTACAGAATCTTAAAGGAAGAAAAGGAGGCAACAATGCTGATGTTCCTCCTGGCTTTCTTCCCATGTGTGTAGATGTGGAAGGAAATCAAAACACACTGCTACAGAATCTGGAAGGAAGAAAGGGAGGCAATGATGCTGATGTTCCTCCTGGTTTTCCTCCCAAACGTGTAAATGTAGAAGAAAATCAACACACTTCGCGACACAACTTTAGAGACAGGAAAGGTGGCAGCGATGCTTATGTTCCTCCTGGCTTTCCTCCCATATGTGTAAATATTGACGGACATCAATATACTTTGCTACACAAGTTGAAAGAAATGAAAGGAGCCATCAATGTTGATGTTCCTCCGGGTTTTATGCCAAAACCTGCCAGCGGGGTCGAAAATCTTCAAAACCCTGTGGGAATATTGCAAGCTAAGAACAAGCATCACAGTGGAGAGGAAAGACTTACTTGTAATGACAAGCATTTTCTGGCTGCTCAATTTCAATTTCTGTCATCTTCAACTGCGAGTAATGGAGATTTCGTGAGGGAATCATTGATGAAACCAGGAGAAAAGATTAANGACTTACAACTATTGTGCGCCTTATGCATTGACAGGCCAGTTAACAATGAAGTCTGATATGTACAGCTTTGGTGTAGAGTTGTTGGAGATAATCACAGGAAGGAGAGTCAGTGACAACTCAAGGCCTGGTGAAGAGCAGACCCTTGTTTCTTGGTTATGTATAGAAATGTATATGAATTTAGCACTTCGTAGAACTATTATGAAGCACTCTGGAACTATTTACCTCAGAAATTCATCATTCTGTGAAAGTTTTCCAAAATTGTGATGAGAGCCTGGCATTGAAATTCACAATGTTACCCATTTTGAAGGCACAAACCTTTGTTCAAAAGACAAAAAGGAAGTTTGACGTACTGGCAGACCCATTACCTGAAGGGAACTTCTACCCCATTAGGGGCCCTTACCAAGCTCTTGCAATAGCAGCAATGTGCCTCCAAGAGGAAGCTAGTGTTCAGCCTTTGATCAGCAATATAGTAACTACCCCTTGAATACTTATTTATAAGTAAGATCGATGAGGCGGTGGGTGCAGAAATGATGNTGCAATGAAAAGAATTCCTGGCCTCTAAGATTAATCTTGATGTAAACGCATAATGTGTAAGCTCAAAAAATCACAGAGCACATTGCAGCTATTGATATTCTTCTGAGTTTCCAATATTTTGTATGAATTACAGATTTGATAGCTTGTTTCTTTTTGTTTGTCCATTGGGTGGAATTTACAAGCTTATCAGCGACGTATCTCCAATGGGTTGGTTCAAGATTTTGATGGTTTTGGAATCTAGGAATGGTTGGCTGAAATAGCGGTTNGTTATTTGAATACTAATTGGTATTTATCTTTCTAGTGGTAGAGTTATGTTATCTTCTTAATTTTTATCAAGAAAGACTCACGAAATCACAAAGAAATGGTTGTTGAATGTATTGAAAACNGGGTTGGTTCAAGATTTTGATGGTTTTGGAATCTAGGAATGGTTGGCTGAAATAGCGGATAGAAAGGAAGATGAGCTACTTTTTGCTTTCCATGTTAGAAGAAAAACTCTTGAGAAAGTCATTGGCAAAAAGCATTCAGGTATACAGAGACCCAAAAACTTTAGCTTTGTTTGTTAACATTTACTTCAAAATTGGTATCTTTAAATTCTTTTATACCAAGTTCTTGCCCTATTATTTTTATTTTTGGATTTTCTGAGTATTCAACGTTTCTGCCTACTTTAATTGTTTTAATTGTCACTCCGATGATTGTCTTATTCGAATCTGTTCATCTTACCTGTATTAACTCAGTGTCCTTGTGCCACAATCTGTCCCACATCAGAAAATAAAGCCTAGTTTTTATGACGATGTAAACCCTCGCTGCTACCAGACAAACAGGCCCCTTTCNTTCATCTTACCTGTATTAACTCAGTGTCCTTGTGCCACAATCTGTCCCACATCAGAAAATAAAGCCAAGCCTAGTTTTTATGACGATGTAAACCCTCGCTGCTACCAGACAAACAGGCCCCTTACAATATCTCCTTTTTCATACATGGTTTCTTAACAAGATATCTGTATTGATCATACAGATTTTGCTTTTCGGAAATAGGTTCACACAGAAGGCCTTCAGGTTGGAATAGTAGGATGATAATTGCCGAAGGGGCTGCCAGAGGATTGGAATACTTGCATGAAACAGCTAACCCTCCTGTGATTTACCGGGATTTCAAAGTGTCTAACATACCAGGGTTATGGGGACTTACAACTATTGTGCGCCTTATGCATTGACAGGCCAGTTAACAATGAAGTCTGATATGTACAGCTTTGGTGTAGAGTTGTTGGAGATAATCACAGGAAGGAGAGTCAGTGACAACTCAAGGCCTGGTGAAGAGCAGACCCTTGTTTCTTGGTTATGTATAGAAATGTATATGAATTTAGCACTTCGTAGAACTATTATGAAGCACTCTGGAACTATTTACCTCAGAAATTCATCATTCTGTGAAAGTTTTCCAAAATTGTGATGAGAGCCTGGCATTGAAATTCACAATGTTACCCATTTTGAAGGCACAAACCTTTGTTCAAAAGACAAAAAGGAAGTTTGACGTACTGGCAGACCCATTACCTGAAGGGAACTTCTACCCCATTAGGGGCCCTTACCAAGCTCTTGCAATAGCAGCAATGTGCCTCCAAGAGGAAGCTAGTGTTCAGCCTTTGATCAGCAATATAGTAACTACCCCTTGAATACTTATTTATAAGTAAGATCGATGAGGCGGTGGGTGCAGAAATGATGAGGATCGTGTTGGAGTTGGATAATTAGTATAGATTTTGTTTTAAAGTTTATTTAGTTATTTGAATACTAATTGGTATTTATCTTTCTAGTGGTAGAGTTATGTTATCTTCCTAATTTTTATCAAGAAAGACTCACGAAGTCACAAAGAAATGGTTGTTGAATGTATTGAAAACAATGGAGCAGGTGTTGTTTGGGGCCAGAGACTGAGCAAGTGCTTAGTCTCAGATTTTGCTTAATGGCTGCTGTTCAAATTTGCAGTATATGTATGATCCACCGTGAAATTTTTGGATTCTATTCTGTCATCAACTTATAATTTGGAAATAACTCAGCACATGCAGAGATTTAATAGTTGAATAAATGATAATATATATAAATCATACATTTTTGATCCACCATGAATTTTTTGGCGTCTATTCCATTATCGACTTATAATTTGGAAATAACTCGGCACATGTAGAGATTTAATAGTTGAATAAATAATAATATATATAAATCATACATTTTTGAGTTCGAATCATTCTGACTAAACGAGACTCGAGTTTAATTTGCGCTTCTGAATTTTGTATAATTGAATACGTTTAATGAATTCAAAGGCTGGGTAATTAAATTGTTTAGGTTAGATAAAGGGAAAAAAAATTGAGGTAAGAATCTGATGTGACACTGGACTGGATCAAAAACATATTTTCCACCGGTGGCAATTATGTGATTATTGTGGTTTATTTTAGTTTAAATATTACAATTAAAAATTTGAATTCTCAAATTATAAAAGTACAACAATGGTTAAGATTGATCTAATTTTATTAAATTTTGATTCAATAGTATAAAATTTATTCCCAATTTTCTTTTTCCACTCAAAAACATTTATTTTTCGCTCCACAACTCCCAATGTTAAATAATCTCACTAATTACATTTACACCTTTCTTATTCCTCCTCCTCTGTCTCTCTTATTTTATTTTTATTCATTTAATTTTAAATTATGTGATTAAAGAGAAAAATAAATAAATTTTAAATTTTGTATAATTAATGTTTTATTTTTGGTATTGTAAAATTTCGAACTGCACTTTGTATTCTTAAAGATTTAAAAAAAATTATTTTATATCCTAAAACATTATTTTTTTTAATATATTATATGTTTAATATATTAAAAATATTATAATATAACTCTTCAATTTTGGTAATCATTATGTCAACGTTAAAAAGATGAGTTTTGACGAAATAAGTAACGAAAGTTAATGAAAAATTATATTGTAATATTTTTAATACATTAAGAGTAAAATGTGAGAAATCTCATATTTGAGTGTACAAAGTGAAAAACTTAAATCTTTAAAGGGTATGAAATGAGATTCTCCGAAAAAAATTATGAAAATAACAGGGACGACAAATATTTGCCAGCGATGACATTGTCCGCAATATTGGGGGTCCTTTTAATAATTCTTTTTGCAGAACAAGGGTTTTAGAGTCAGCTTCCATTCCAAGTCCCTCCACTCTCTCTCTCTCTCTCTCTCTCTCTCGCTCTACATGTACTCTGTAGTCTATGCATCTTCCTCTGCCTCACACTGACTCACTCACAGACAATAATCTTATTATTTTGAGTTTCTTCTAGAAAGCTTATCAAAACGGGTGTTTTTTGTTTTCCCAACACCAGCAATAAGGTGGGCAGAGCTATGGAGGCCATGGCCATGGGGTTTTCTAATCATACCAGCCCCTTCAAGCCCTCTTATTGCCCTCCTCACGTATGGTTATGCCATTTGTGCCATCGCGCTTCTTCCATGTCTCCTTCTTCACGGTCCTTCTGGGCTTCCTCCAGAAAAGCCCTTCACAGGTTCGGTCTATATCTTAGTCATACTGTTAACTATTCTGCCTTTTTAGTGTTTTTTATGGGTTTTTGCTTGGCGGGTTTTAGTTTTTTTCCATGCCCATTTGCCATAATACATGCGTTGGGTTTTCGTGTGTTGGCCACAATCCTCTGGTTTATTGGTTTTTCTTCGTGGGAATTTAAATGCATTATTTTAGTTGTAAATTTTCCTATGTAAAAACGTGTGTTGGGTTTTTTGGTTTGCTTTTTTAGCTAGTCGCANTAGTGTTTTTTATGGGTTTTTGCTTGGCGGGTTTTAGTTTTTTTCCATGCCCATTTGCCATAATACATGCGTTGGGTTTTCGTGTGTTGGCCACAATCCTCTGGTTTATTGGTTTTTCTTCGTGGGAATTTAAATGCATTATTTTAGTTGTAAATTTTCCTATGAAAAACGTGTGTTGGGTTTTTTGGTTTGCTTTTTTAGCTAGTCGAAGTTTGGGTTTTCCACTAACTGTTACTTATTGAGATTTCAGAGTTGGATTTCAAGTAAGTCGAGTTCTTATCAAATTAATGAATGCATTATTTGACACATTAATTGTGATCATGTTACCTTAGCCATAATGACAATCCACTGAAGTATGCAACAAGGAAGCAAGGGATTACCTGATCGATTGTTTTAGTAATCAGTTATTGTAANTATTTGACACATTAATTGTGATCATGTTACCTTAGCCATAATGACAATCCACTGAAATATGCAACAAGGAAGCAAGGGATTACCCGATCGATTGTTTTAGTAATCAGTTATTGTAATCCAAAAGAATATTGACTAGATAAGAAGGGAGTGGTCAGATTTTAAGTGAGTTGAAGTTTCTTTCTTTTATTCCTACATGCTAATTTTAAGGTCAAATGGAAACCCAAGTCATCGAGTCAGGGCAATCTGACTTTGTACCAATAAACTGGATGCATAAAAGTTGCAAGCCATTGTGTTACCGTGTTGCTGGCTTGGTTTCTTCTGATTGTTTAGCTTCTTTCCCATTGGAGATTGCAAGCTGACCTTTCACGTCTCCTTTTATTCATAATTCTGCTATCATTCGCATTTCATTTTTATCAAAATTGCAGGAGAGAAATCTGCCCACTGGACAATGCCAATGGTCCCTTTTCCCGCGCGGCTGTGTTTAGTAGTTATTTCAAGTGTAAACAAAGTTCAAGTTATTACACACAGCCACATACTGACAACCAAAAATATGAGAACTCGGAACATGGTGACTGGAAGCTTGAGGTTTGTAGGGTGCAAAAAGAAAATCATTTTACTTCATCTGCTCGAATGCGTCAAAATCTCGTAAATCGGGTTAGTTCAAAAGGAAAACACTTTCCGAATGGATTTGGTAATGTACAAAGTTTGAAGGAAGAAATTCAAGTTCCAAAAGATTTTATGAGACCTGGTAATTTAAATACTGCCATAGAGTGGCATAGGGAGAGCGTCAAGGTAAAGGAAACAAGAGCACTTTATGTTAGTATTACGGACAACAATGTGGGTTGTGTTGATGGTAAGAGCAATGATGCATACCACAGAACATCAGGAGAAACTACTGAAAGTAGTGCGCCAGTGGTCAAAGGTTTGCAAGATTGTAGTAATTATCAGAAATTGCCACATTGCTATGCATTTCTAGAGGAAAAATATTCTTTGGAGGATGTAATTAATGAGGATGTTGCTTCACCTGTGATGCCTTCTGCTGAGGCAGGAGTCAATGACAATGATGCTCCAAATAATATTTGTAATGGTGGATCATTCCTCTCAACAAAAAACTTTGCAGGAAATGCTGTTGAATCGATTGCTGAGAATGGGGCTTTTAGAAGCTCAATTGGATCAAAGCAAATGGGCTTTGACACAATAAAACCACAATCTTCTGGCCTGTCATATAAATCCAATAGGCAGGAGCAGATGGTAAATGTAAATGGTGAAAAACATCATACTTATAAGAAGGATTGTGCTTTACATAAACCAGCATCCATGGAGCAAGACCCGTTTGAACCAATGGAAAGGGACGTAGCTAATGGAAAACATGCTAGTGCTGATATAGAAAATGAAATACAACGTTTTTACCAGTTCCGTCTGCGTGAGACACTTGGGCGCATCTATGACAAAGTTCTTGTGGTTGATAATATCTCTACAGCCAAGGAAATAGTCAGTATGCTTACGAATCAATACAGGCATCTTGTCCATGCATGTGATACAGAGGCACGTCTTATACTTGAGTTGCATTCTCTTCTTTTGAGTTTATATACTTGTGCAATTGTGAGCATGTATGCTAATTGGATTGTGTTATCCACATTCAAGTTATCTTTATGGTTGCTAATGTTTTAAGCTACTCACAAGCTTATCTGTCTGTCTGCATATAATTCACAGGTGGCAAAGATTGATGTGAAGCAGGAAACACCTGTTGATCACGGAGAAGTCATATGCTTCAGCATTTATTCTGGACCAGAAGCCAATTTTGGCAATGGTAAGTCTTGTGTCTGGGTAGATGTTCTTGATGGTGGAGGCAGGAGCCTTTTGGCTGAATTTGCTCCATTTTTTGAAGACTCATCCATCAGAAAGGTAAGCATTTTATTAGCATTGATTTTTGGTTGCCTGTACTGTCTGAAATATCGAAGGTAGCATTATTTTCCTAAACTGAAATAGCGAATAAGTTGAGTTCATCTCATTTCAGCAACAAGAATATGATGAACTTCTCTGCTCTTATGTAGGTTTGGCATAATTATAGCTTTGACAACCACGTTATAGAAAACTATGGGCTTAAAGTTTCTGGTTTTCATGCCGACACAATGCATATGGCTCGATTGTGGGATTCCTCAAGACGAACAGATGGTGGGTATTCTCTAGAAGCACTCACAGGTGACCGGTCTGTCATGTCTGATGCTAGATTGTGCCCCAATGAAGGGCTGGTTGGTAAAGTGTCAATGAAAACCATCTTTGGCAGAAGAAAGGTGAAGAAAGATGGATCTGAGGGCAAGATTGTCACCGTTCCGCCTGTTGAAGAGCTTCAGAGAGTAGAGCGAAAATCATGGGTTTGCTATTCTTCATTGGATTCAATAAGCACACTGCAGCTCTACGAGAGCTTGAAAAAGAAACTCACTGATAGGGAATGGAATCTTGATGGAATGCGAAAAGGAACAATGTTTGACTTCTATGAAAAATACTGGCATCCTTTTGGCAATCTTCTAGTGAAAATGGAAACTGAGGGGATGCTGGTTGACCGAGCTTATCTCGCTGAGATTGAGAAAGTGGCCAAGGCAGAGCAGCAGGTTGCTGCTGATAGATTTCGTAAGTGGGCATCTAATTACTGCCCTGATGCTAAATACATGAATGTGGGAAGTGATACACAGTTACGCCAGCTTTTTTTCGGTGGCAGTGTAAACAGGTATGAACTTGAATGTAGTCATTGTTACTGAAACCAATTTAACACAACAATTTTTGTTTAGCTACACTAATACTATTTTATATTTGATTCTAAGAAGGGCGATACTTCCTGATAAATATGCATGAAAGCAGCTTTTCTCTGTTAACCAACAATGGTTCAAAGTAGAACTTACACCTTCTTTGGAGACTTTTATGGCNATTCTAAGAAGGGCGATACTTCCTGATAAATATGCATGAAAGCAGCTTTTCTCTGTCAACCAACAATGGTTCAAAGTAGAACTTACACCTTCTTCGGAGACTTTTATGACCAAGAACATTGTGTTTAAGACTTGAGGTTGTGGTCAAAGTTTGCATGAAGCCGACCAANAACCAACAATGGTTCAAAGTAGAACTTACACCTTCTTTGGAGACTTTTATGGCCAAGAACATTGTGTTTAAGACTTGAGGTTGTGGTCAAAGTTTGCATGAAGCCGACCAAGATATGCAAATTATTTTCATATGTATGTGGCTTACTGTTGACCATTTTCATGAGCACATTGAAATTTATGGTCACCATACTTTCTTAAATCACCTGCCTTAACATGACTTGATATCACTAATATATTCTCTGATTTGTCATTATTCTGCACAAGAAATGGAGCAGGGCATGAAAATGTTATATTTGGCCTGAAATATGCCATATTGGATTGTGAGGTCTATATGTGTACGAGGCTATACTGATATCGTGTCTAGTTTTTTCACTCCAGCAAGTAGTAGTTGGCATGTCAATAGTCTTTAACACCTGCTTCATGTGGGATTAAGGACTTGAACAACTCTTTGGAGAGTAGTCATGCTAGTGATATAGGCAAAAAGGATTGTGTGTTCAAGAACTGATAGTGACTGTCAGATAGGTGGAAGCACTAAGCATGAAACTTAAATATCCCTTGGAAGTTAGTCTTCATCTTATAAGCAGGACATTGCTACAACACAACACAGATACGCTGATACAACATTTTTCTAAAAAAGTAGGACAGGTTGGAGACACGCGACAATTAATTTTATTTGATATCAAATTATCTATTCTATTAGTATGTGAAGTTACAATTATATTTTTATGAAACATTAGAGAATTAGTATTTTAATATCTTATGACAAGATAAATTATAAGTTCAGTCCTCTAATGTGAATTTTTAGAATAATGGATCATAGTAATCAATTGCCATTGAATTTTCTAATTGAAATTGTGTTGCAAATATACGTATTTGTATTTTGTAATGATTGCTATCATTTTCCCAAGTCCTCTTCTTTAGAAAGATTATAATGCTTCTTTCACATAATTATTAGGTTCAAAGTAAAACTTCGGCATAACTAGTCGTAATAATATTATATTCTTTCATAGTATAAGTTAGTCATTTGTCAAATTCTCAAGTTTTGTTACTTTTATGTAGACACATGTTTGTATTTTAGTCATAGGCAACTTTGAAAGAGTGTTGGACGTGCCACTAAAGGAGTGGACATGTCTTTTAGGGTCCAAGACCATCTGACATTGATATCCCACCATTTTAAAAGTGTTTGTGGTCCATATATCGTCGCTGCTTTGTTTATGTTGTTTGAGTCATAACCAAAGAAGTTACCCCTAGATGTTTTGTTTCCTCGGATAGTTCGACATTCATACTTATATTGCAATTACAGCGTCCAATGACCAGGCAATTGGAACATTCCTGGTCCATCCTATGCAAAAATAGAGCATTAGGAAACCTCTTTGCAGCTATGTTGGTTATATTAATTTTCACTTTGTTTTACAGAAAGGATCCCAATGTGACTCTTCCAATGGAGAAGGATTTTAAAATTCCCAACGTTGATAATGTGATAGAAGAAGGCAAGAAGACCCCCACCAAATATCGCAAAATTAAACTGCATAGACTTGGTTCTGATATAAATACTGACATGTACACTGCAAGTGGTTGGCCCTCAGTTAGTGGAGATGCTTTGAAGGCCCTTGCTGGGAAGGTTTCTGCCGAGTTTGACTCTACCGAGCAGTTGGATGACATTGTCGTAGATTCGCATGCAGCATTGAGTGATTCCACCAAGGGCCTAGACACATCTGCTTATGGAACTGCTTATGCTGCATTTGGAGAGGGGCAGCAGGGAATCGAGGCTTGCCATGCCATTGCTGCTTTATGTAAAGTTTGCTCCATAGACTCTTTGATATCCAATTTCATCCTCCCCTTACAGGTAATAACACTGATTTTACTGGGTACAGAATCTGAAAAAATCGGAATTTTATGCATTGTTTTGTTTAATATGACTGACTTAATTGTTTCAGGAGACTTGAAAAGTCCAGGTCTCCATTGATAAAAATGGTATTGTAAAGCCTTATTTATAAAGACTTTGTACATAATGTTAGAAAAATGGACTGGGTCACTTTTGATTGGATGTGGACTATGCCCGATCAGCCCCATTTTACTAGTTCAAATGCATAGGAGTGGATACTAGCAATGAGGAAGGGTGTCTCCGAAATCAGAAATGGTTGAGTTTGTATTAGAACTTTGAAACGGAACTGACACAAAAAAGTTGGAAGATTGGAAGACATTTAGATATATGGCCTGGCTGATCTTCTATAGGCCTTGTGCCATTTTATGCCGTTGATGGGTAGGCAGTGCCTTCTATGGACGTCCTATGCGCCACATAGGAGAGCTTTATCCTTAAATATCAATTCGTCTTCTTCCTCTTCTTTGATGGAGGGAGGCTTTTTGGTTTTGTTGGGTGCGTCCAATCTTATATTAGATTTAGCTTCTCATGTTTTGCAGATCCAANCATTTTATGCCGTTGATGGGTAGGCAGTGCCTTCTATGGACGTCCTATGCGCCACACAGGAGAGCTTTATCCTTAAATATCAATTCATCTTCTTCCTCTTCTTTGATGGAGGGAGGCTTTTCGGTTTTGTTGGGTGCGTCCAATCTTATATTAGATTTAGCTTCTCATGTTTTGCAGATCCAAGTACGTGTATAAATTATTCCACTTCACAATTGGATGTTGTTTGATTGATCTGACATGCATGTTGTTGTGATGTGGAGGTCAAAAAATTTAACTGAGTGGATGTTTACTCTGCAAAATTCTTGGGAATTGTTGTTGCGGTGGTGAATGGTGGGGGAAGGCTTGAATCCAGTTATACAGCAATGAGAATATGGTACCGTTCATTTAACATGTCCCCATTTTTTTCCTTCTTTTGTTTTTTGCGGGAGGAAGGCTGTGTTCCCCATGTAGCATATCCTTTTGTAGAAGATTCTANTGCGGTGGTGAATGGTGGGGGAAGGCTTGAATCCAGTTATACAGCAATGAGAATATGGTACCGTTCATTTAACATGTCCCCATTTTTTTCCTTCTTTTTTTTGGCGGGAGGAAGGCTGTGTTCCCCATGTAGCATATCCTTTTGTAGAAGATTCTATCTCATTAAATTATTCAGTCCATTGACTCTGCTGTGACTTTGTGGGATTTAGATTACTATTATATTTTGGATGTGGAATGGTAAATGATGAGTCATGACTTAAGCACTCGTGCAATGATGTGTATTTATGGTTTGATTTAGTTTACATTGCAGATTTGACTAAGACAAAGCCCAAAACCTACTCGTGGGCATAATATATCAGTCGTGGTTTTCAGCATTATTTTTTCATTGGTGTTACACAATGTCTTTTAAGGTTGGATTATGAGGTGTTTTTTCATAAGTTTATGAGGTGGTTTGTATTTATGCTATATTTTTGCTACGATAGGGAGGCCATATATCAGGCAAGAATGGGCGTATTCATTGTTCTCTAAATATCAACACAGAAACTGGGCGCTTGTCAGCAAGGAGGCCGAATTTACAGGTTCATCATTTATTTTTTTTCTTATTTTCTGGTGACAATTTTCAATCATAACTGCTTCTTAACCTTAATGTTTTGGACCTTTTGGTCATGGTGCACTTCATGAATGTTCTTCCTCTTCAGTGCTATTCGACATCTCCAAAATGTATCATTCAATTTAGGAGCAGAACTTGCAAGGAATACCAGCATGCCCCAATTGTTAAACCTCATGAGTGCTTATAGTAGTGCTCTTCTGTCAAATACTGTTACTTCTGGAAATGTTTTCTTGGTGTCTGCATGCCATACAGTAGTCATGGCTTGAAGAGAATGAACTACCTCTAGCATGGGGCCACTCTCTTGGGTCTAAATTTTCTCCATGCATATTGCCTCGCATCAATGGCCAAAGGAACTATCATGTTTTCCCACCGCCTTTCTTTTCAAAATGTTTACGTTAATTGACATGTCTGTTTTCTGTATATCAGAATCAGCCTGCGTTAGAGAAGGACCGCTATAAGATTCGGAAGGCATTTATTGCTGCACCTGGGAACTCTCTTATTGTTGCTGATTATGGGCAGGTAGTTACCTTGAACTTGATTATGTTTCTGTTACTATCTGAAGTCACAGAGAGTGAGTGCGAGAGTGCAAGAACTAGAAAATAATAAAAAAAATAAATTGGAATGGAAGTGTCCATAGAGCATAATAAAAGTTTTTAAATGAAGAGGTGTATCTCAATTAGTCTAAATTACAAGGACACCTGACATTGGGTTTATTTTGGGGTCAACCCTTGATATTGCAATATTGACATGTAGATCCCTCGAAATTTCAAAACTGTAACATTGCCCCTTATTTTTGGTTGGAGCAAGATAGTTATGTTTTTCAAACTCAATTATTATTGGAATACTATTTGTTATCCAAATACGTCTTCTTCTCTCTTACACCCACATAAGTACTCTGTGACAACTAGATGCATGGCAAATACACCCACCTGCCACATACACACCTCTTTCTCCTTTCTTTCATTCTATGAACACACCCCCTTCAGCTAAACCATGCTGGAAGCCATTACATGTAATGGGCAAGGGTGGAAATATACTTATTTGTCTAGTCCCCACCACTTCTATTAACTCGGTCTGCACGGAATGCTCAGCAGTCCATCACACTACCAAGTACCAATGACCCACAACCAACCCATGTCCAGTTCAATCCAACCCCGCCAATGTGCCAATCTTCTCTCCTCTTTGGCCTCTTTCGACGNTGGAAATATACTTATTTGTCTAGTCCCCACCACTTCTATTAACTCGGTCTGCACGGAATGCTCAGCAGTCCATCACACTACCAAGTACCAATGACCCACAACCAACCCATGTCCTGTTCAATCCAACCCCGCCAATGTGCCAATCTTCTCTCCTCTTTGGCCTCTTTCGATGNCTGTGACAACTAGATGCATGGCAAATACACCCACCTGCCACATACACACCTCTTTCTCCTTTCTTCCACTCTATGAACACACCCCCTTCAGCTAAACCATGCTGGAAGCCATTACATGTAATGGGCAAGGGTGGAAATATACTTATTTGTCTAGTCCCCACCACTTCTATTAACTCGGTCTGCACGGAATGCTCAGCAGTCCATCACACTACCAAGTACCAATGACCCACAACCAACCCATGTCCTGTTCAATCCAACCCCGCCAATGTGCCAATCTTCTCTCCTCTTTGGCCTCTTTCGACGCTTTCTTTGTTAGGTGTGGATCTTTCATGTTGATTGGCAAGTGGGTGTGCCATAGATTGTGCACTGAAATCATATTATCGAGGATTCACCTTGTCTGCACTGTCATGGTGAGCAGTTGAACTAAGAGTAAGGATCCGGTGGGTGTTGCTCAGGTGGTATGGTGGGGTTGGGTGACTGCTCCTCTATCCTTATTTTGTTTTTAAGTTTTACCAATTTTCATCACATTTCAATGGATAAATAGTTTTAATTTTGAAGGATATGTAGTTTGTCAATAAAGATATGTAAATGGGGTCCTGTTATCATTTGTGAAATGTTTGTGGCTGGTCGAGGATAATTTCAAATGCCAGGGTGGTTTTATTGTGATTTAATATGAACTCTTAAGAAAGGTTAAGATTTGATCAAAATGAAAATACACGTTTTCTATTCTTCTTTCTTTTCTTTTTCTTTTTCTTTTTTTTGCTGATGTCCAAGAAAATTTATTGGTCAAAAGCTTTTACAAAAAGAGCTGTCCAACGAAGCTACCTGTGCTTGATGGTGATATGACGCACATAAANGTGAATCTATTTCAGGAGAACTTGCTCGAGAAAAGGGTGTAGTTGGTATATTCTAGGGTATGGGTGTTTATGCAGGGTTTGTGATGTGTGTGTTTTTTAGGGGTTGAGAAAGATTTTCCCTCACTTTTGATTCCTGGCATTGATGCAAGACCTGTATCATATGCACAATGATCGATTAATAAATCTTTAAACCCATGCTCTGACAGTGTTAACCCAATTGTTCCTCAGGCACTATTGGACACTGATTTGTGGCCCAGTCACCTCTACTCAATAATGATGCAGTCCTTTGTAGGGTAATAAAAGGCTGNTGCTCTGACAGTGTTAACCCAATTGTTCCTCAGGCACTATTGGACACTGATTTGTGACCCAGTCACCTCTACTCAATAATGATGCAGTCCTTTGTAGGGTAATAAAAGGCAGNTTTGTCCTTTGAAAAAATGTAACGAGTATATAGAAATAACAACCGTGTCATATCAGTGGCTTAAGCTGGGGAGGGGGTTGAGATGTGAAGGATGTATCATTAATAGACTGAATTTCAGATTTCTATATCAAGATGTTTTGCATTGATCTTACTGTGTAGATAGGACAAAGAGAAATTAGTACTGCAGCACAAGCATGCATATGGTTGAGGAGCATCTGACTAGAAATAGAAGTACTTTTGTGTTTATGGTTGTCTGTGTCTGTGAAAAAAGAGGATAGAAGGGTTTTTTTTTTTTTTTTTTTTTTTTTTTGGGGGGGGGGGGGGGTGAATCTATTTCAGGAGAACTTGCTCGAGAAAAGGGTGTAGTTGGTATATTCTAGGGTATGGGTGTTTATGCAGGGTTTGTGATGTGTGTTTTTTAGGGGTTGAGAAAGATTTTCCCTCAATTTTGATTCCTGGCATTGATGCAAGACCTGTATCATATGCACAATGATCGATTAATCAATCTTTAAACCCATGCTCTGACAGTGTTAACCCAATTGTTCCTCAGGCACTATTGGACACTGATTTGTGACCCAGTCACCTCTACTCAATAATGATGCAGTCCTTTGTAGGGTAATAAAAGGCAGTATCAGGGTTGGTTTGTTTTCCAACTTAGTAGGACTGTCAGGGGTAGGGAGTGTGGTCTAGATTGCCGCTGTTCGGGGGAGAAGAAAGTTGATTTAAAAAAACTGTTTATAGCATGCGTGTACTTAAAAAGTTTATTTGTAGAATAGAATGATCTGTATTTATGGGGCCTGGCTTTAGCTGCATGATGAACTTAGGAGATCAATTAGTGTTGCGAACAGTTGCCTTGGCTACTTCATCATTTGGTTGGTCAAATTACAAATAAAGTGCGACTTCCGTTATTTATACAATTTGAGAGTGTAATAAATTTTAAAAGCAAAATTCAACAAAACATTGTATTTGCACTTTAGTGATCCATTTATTGTCTTTGACAACCCAATTGTCCTTTAATGCAATGATGATCAAGTGCATTTTGTATAGTTTCTGCTGCCAAACTATTACAAATATTCTTTTCCGCAGGATGCTTTTACTTCTGAAAGAAGAAAAGCAAAGATGCTTAACTTTTCCATCGCATATGGGAAAACAACAATGGGACTTGCTCGCGATTGGAAGGTACCTTGCATCATCATATGTGATGCGAAGATGACTTACTAAATTTTTCACTGAAAGTCGTTTCTTCCCCTGGAACATGATTGCCATCTCTGTTTTCAGGTTTCTGTGAGTGAAGCCAAGGAAACAGTTGATCTGTGGTACAGTGATAGACAAGAAGTACGGAAGTGGCAGAAAAAACACAAGGAAAAAGCTCACAAATATAGTTGTGTTCACACGTTGCTTGGTCGGGTTCGCTCTTTTCCTTCAATGAATAATGCTACTCCCTCTCAAAAAGGTCATATTGAACGAGCTGCCATCAATACCCCAGTGCAGGTTCTTCTTTCTCAATGCCTGCAAATGTTCTACTCGCTCTGTCTGTCTCTGTNGCCATCAATACCCCAGTGCAGGTTCTTCTTTCTCAATGCCTGCAAATGTTCTACTCTGTCTGTCTCTATCTTTCTCTCCACACACACACAATGCCCACATACAAGTACACATAAGTTCTTAATCGGACACTTGCTACAGGGGAGTGCTGCGGATGTTGCCATGTGTGCCATGCTGGAAATNTTTTTTTTTTTTTTTTTTTTTTTTTTTGGGGGGGGGGAGGGGTGAATCTATTTCAGGAGAACTTGCTCGAGAAAAGGGTGTAGTTGGTATATTCTAGGGTATGGGTGTTTATGCAGGGTTTGTGATGTGTGTTTTTTAGGGGTTGAGAAAGATTTTCCCTCAATTTTGATTCCTGGCATTGATGCAAGACCTGTATCATATGCACAATGATCGATTAATCAATCTTTAAACCCATGCTCTGACAGTGTTAACCCAATTGTTCCTCAGGCACTATTGGACACTGATTTGTGACCCAGTCACCTCTACTCAATAATGATGCAGTCCTTTGTAGGGTAATAAAAGGCAGTATCAGGGTTGGTTTGTTTTCCAACTTAGTAGGACTGTCAGGGGTAGGGAGTGTGGTCTAGATTGCCGCTGTTCGGGGGAGAAGAAAGTTGATTTAAAAAAACTGTTTATAGCATGCGTGTACTTAAAAAGTTTATTTGTAGAATAGAATGATCTGTATTTATGGGGCCTGGCTTTAGCTGCATGATGAACTTAGGAGATCAATTAGTGTTGCGAACAGTTGCCTTGGCTACTTCATCATTTGGTTGGTCAAATTACAAATAAAGTGCGACTTCCGTTATTTATACAATTTGAGAGTGTAATAAATTTTAAAAGCAAAATTCAACAAAACATTGTATTTGCACTTTAGTGATCCATTTATTGTCTTTGACAACCCAATTGTCCTTTAATGCAATGATGATCAAGTGCATTTTGTATAGTTTCTGCTGCCAAACTATTACAAATATTCTTTTCCGCAGGATGCTTTTACTTCTGAAAGAAGAAAAGCAAAGATGCTTAACTTTTCCATCGCATATGGGAAAACAACAATGGGACTTGCTCGCGATTGGAAGGTACCTTGCATCATCATATGTGATGCGAAGATGACTTACTAAATTTTTCACTGAAAGTCGTTTCTTCCCCTGGAACATGATTGCCATCTCTGTTTTCAGGTTTCTGTGAGTGAAGCCAAGGAAACAGTTGATCTGTGGTACAGTGATAGACAAGAAGTACGGAAGTGGCAGAAAAAACACAAGGAAAAAGCTCACAAATATAGTTGTGTTCACACGTTGCTTGGTCGGGTTCGCTCTTTTCCTTCAATGAATAATGCTACTCCCTCTCAAAAAGGTCATATTGAACGAGCTGCCATCAATACCCCAGTGCAGGTTCTTCTTTCTCAATGCCTGCAAATGTTCTACTCTGTCTGTCTCTATCTTTCTCTCCACACACACACAATGCCCACATACAAGTACACATAAGTTCTTAATCGGACACTTGCTACAGGGGAGTGCTGCGGATGTTGCCATGTGTGCCATGCTGGAAATAGAGAAGAATGCACGTCTAAAGGAGCTTGGATGGAGACTTCTTTTACAGGTTATGTTACACCCACCAGGAAAAATATTGAAAGAGAGGAAAAGAAAATACATACTAAAAATATGAAAGAAAAGAAAACACATCCTAAAAATATGAAAGAAAAGAAAACCTGTGTTGTTTGTGCGTGCACCCACACTACCTAACTTTTAAGATATGAATCAGTTGATGGGACAAGAAATCCTGATTGATATTGACTTCTATAGAGTGTACACTTGCCTGCCCTGATTGTCTACATCATCTTCAAATAATGCTATATTAATTGGGAAGTGATATCTTGACATGTTCTTTCAGTGCATTGCCAAGCCACATTATCTACCCGAGTAATTGTGTTTCTGTTGACTTCTGTGTTAATTTAAAAGTGTAGCATCTCATGTTTGTTTTCTGGGAAGTTTTTTGTTGGCTTCCAAGCTAATTGTAACTCATTTGGTTCAGTATACATATATGTGGATGTTTATGTGTGATTATCCTGTGCGTGCATTATTTCCTGATAAGATGTGATGTTATTAAGTGTCATCTTGGTAATATTTGATGTTAAAATTGATGTGTGATATAACAGAAAAATAGTATTATGAACACGTATATATGTGAAATGATAAAAGTGACTCTAATATCAGATATATTGAGAGAGAGACTTGGATGGTTTGGACTTTTTATAGAAGACTTTATAGGACAGTGAAAAAAAGTGACATGTTGCCTATTGACTATAACTTGAGGGTCGACGTGTATAAAAAATAATGTTGAATGAGATGGTAGAAAATAATATAATAGATTCTTGATAGATCACAATTTTAGAACAAGATTTATATACTAGCACCAACACTAGTTGAGACAAGGTTTCTTTGAGTTCAGTAATTACATGTCATCTTTAGGTCTTTCCTGCCATACATTTCAATATTCCTCTGCCATACATTTCTATAGTGTCACTTCGGCTGAGGGATAAAAAGCTGCAAATCTTTCCTCTCTTTTCATTACAAGAGGCCTCCTTGTTCAAATCTTTGCCTTCACTTCTATGAATGAAATTCAATCTCACATTACAAAATTTTGAGAACTTGCTTCCTGATTACTGAAGATCAATTTTGAGAACATTTTCCAGAGACCAAAAACAATAAAATAAATCCTCATTTTAGAACATAACTCTTTCTAAGTGCCATCTGCTGGCATTGATATGAAGCAGCATGGCAATTCAAGGAAGTTGAGTCTGATATCATGAAAGATTAATAGATAATGCTAACAATAAATAAATAATATAAAAGATAAATAACAAAGGGCTATTGAAAACAATCAAGTTATTTGACGTTGTCTTTCTTGTTTTTATAGGAACTGTGTGGTTCCATGTTTGTATCATGACTCATGCTCACTTATAATATTGAGATTGGTCTTTTATTGGCTCAAAATTAGTTCAGGCATCAGTTTATGNTCTATCTTTCTCTCCACACACACACAATGCCCACATACAAGTACACATAAGTTCTTAATCGGACACTTGCTACAGGGGAGTGCTGCGGATGTTGCCATGTGTGCCATGCTGGAAATAGAGAAGAATGCACGTCTAAAGGAGCTTGGATGGAGACTTCTTTTACAGGTTATGTTACACCCACCAGGAAAAATATTGAAAGAGAGGAAAAGAAAATACATACTAAAAATATGAAAGAAAAGAAAACACATCCTAAAAATATGAAAGAAAAGAAAACCTGTGTTGTTTGTGCGTGCACCCACACTACCTAACTTTTAAGATATGAATCAGTTGATGGGACAAGAAATCCTGATTGATATTGACTTCTATAGAGTGTACACTTGCCTGCCCTGATTGTCTACATCATCTTCAAATAATGCTATATTAATTGGGAAGTGATATCTTGACATGTTCTTTCAGTGCATTGCCAAGCCACATTATCTACCCGAGTAATTGTGTTTCTGTTGACTTCTGTGTTAATTTAAAAGTGTAGCATCTCATGTTTGTTTTCTGGGAAGTTTTTTGTTGGCTTCCAAGCTAATTGTAACTCATTTGGTTCAGTATACATATATGTGGATGTTTATGTGTGATTATCCTGTGCGTGCATTATTTCCTGATAAGATGTGATGTTATTAAGTGTCATCTTGGTAATATTTGATGTTAAAATTGATGTGTGATATAACAGAAAAATAGTATTATGAACATGTATATATGTGAAATGATAAAAGTGACTCTAATATCAGATATATTGAGAGAGAGACTTGGATGGTTTGGACTTTTTATAGAAGACTTTATAGGACAGTGAAAAAAAGTGACATGTTGCCTATTGACTATAACTTGAGGGTCGACGTGTATAAAAAATAATGTTGAATGAGATGGTAGAAAATAATATAATAGATTCTTGATAGATCACAATTTTAGAACAAGATTTATATACTAGCACCAACACTAGTTGAGACAAGGTTTCTTNTATAGGACAGTGAAAAAAAGTGACATGTTGCCTATTGACTATAACTTGAGGGTCGAAGTGTATAAAAAATAATGTTGAATGAGATGGTAGAAAATAATATAATAGATTCTTGATAGATCACAATTTTAGAACGAGATTTATATACTAGCACCAACACTAGTTGAGACAAGGTTTCATTGAGTTCAGTAATTACATGTCATCTTTAGGTCTTTCCTGCCATACATTTCAATATTCCTCTGCCATACATTTCTATAGTGTCACTTCGGCTGAGGGATAAAAAGCTGCAAATCTTTCCTCTCTTTTCATTACAAGAGGCCTCCTTGTTCAAATCTTTGCCTTCACTTCTATGAATGAAATTCAATCTCACATTACAAAATTTTGAGAACTTGCTTCCTGATTACTGAAGATCAATTTTGAGAACATTTTCCAGNGGCCTCCTTGTTCAAATCTTTGCCTTCACTTCTATGAATGAAATTCAATCTCACATGATAAAATTTTGAGAACTTGCTTCCTGATTACTGAAGATCAATTTTGAGAACATTTTCCAGAGACCAAAAACAATAAAATAAATCCTCATTTTAGAACATAACTCTTTCTAAGTGCCATCTGCTGGCATTGATATGAAGCAGCATGGCAATTCAAGGAAGTTGAGTCTGATATCATGAAAGATTAATAGATAATGCTAACAATAAATAAATAATATAAAAGATAAATAACAAAGGGCTATTGAAAACAATCAAGTTATTTGACGTTGTCTTTCTTGTTTTTATAGGAACTGTGTGGTTCCATGTTTGTATCATGACTCATGCTCACTTATAATATTGAGATTGGTCTTTTATTGGCTCAAAATTAGTTCAGGCATCAGTTTATGGTAACGTAATTTCTATCAACATATACTGAATGAAGTGGTCCTTGGGCAACAGGTTCATGATGAAGTTATCCTAGAAGGGCCAACGGAGTCTGCTGAGGTTGCTAAAGCTATAGTTGTCGAGTGCATGTCCAAACCTTTCGATGGCAAGAATATTCTTAGAGTCGACTTGTCTGTTGATGCCAAATGTGCTCAAAACTGGTATTCTGCCAAGTAGATTGCGTGTTTCATTTCCAGGACAAATTTTGGCTTCCTGTGTACCCCAACCCCTCGCTGCGGTCACACATTTTGAGGTTCCTTTGCAATCTGATGATGGAGTTCTGTGATCCTGTCCACTTTCTGATTTGTTGGCAGTGACTGCATCAAGTCTTAGAAGGACCATGTCTATGTTTGCTGCCACGAATTTTTCCATTTCCTTGACAATGTGGCAGTCATGGTCTTGTTGGGTTTGGAGAAGTACGACGGTTACCTGCTACTTACTGTAGCATTGGTGATTCTTTGGATAAAAAAAAAAAAAGAAGGGGGGGGGGGGGTGTGCCTGTTGTATATTTATCTACTTTGTGTACAAAATTCTTACCACTTCGGTGGTGACCGTATGTACTTGTAATATTAATTTCGCTTATTTTGCGAGTTATGAAAGGTCATCTTCTCTAGTGTTATTCACATGTTTCTTTAATCTTTTTTTCTTTGAATCACTTATTTCCTTATACACGGGAAACAAACTTATTATCTTTGACCTTTGAGTCCTCCTCAAAGATGGGACCTAAAATTTCATGGTTGGTGTTTGAGCTCCTCAGGAACTTCCATTAGATATGTATTAGTTTGGCATCTATTGTGTTTGAAATCCATTGTAGTACAACTCACAAAGGTTGTATATGTACATTCTAGAGGGCCAAGATTGCCCAGTTCACTGCAGAGGAGACAGGACAAACGATGCTACAATGGTGCAGCAAACTACAGGTCAAGCTGGAGGAAGAGGACGATTTGCTGTTGTCGATGGCAATAAGGGTTATCGCTGAACCATTGGTGTGCTCAACGCTCCTGCTACATCAAAAATGTGCGTGCTTTGACCATCTTTTAGCCGCAATGCAAACAATATCACCCATATAAATTATCAAATCATGGAAATGTATTTCATCTATACATTGATCTGCACCGTTGGCTACCTGCATATTCTTATCCAAATTTATCTGCTTATTCAAAAATAGACAAAGAAGATAATGAAGAAAGGTTTAAATCTCTACAATCAGAATAATGTCTTCAGAAAGCAGGTCTATTCAATAGGCTCCATACAACTAATGGTGATTGTAACCACAGACTCTGTTTGTTACACGTTATAAGAATCCCAAGAAGGGCAAATATGCTCAACTGTCAAAACAAATTATATTATGTCAAAATACCTATGTTCAATTCCTAATTTCAAACACTCATTTAAAAGAGTTTGTTGATCAACTCATGCATTTGTAGATACTGTTCCCCAGTAACTCCGCTTATGTGTAGATACAGTATGTACAATCCTTACCACCAGATCAAGTTAAACACAAAATAGAAATCCCAAGTGCCTGATTGGGTAGGTATTACTTCCCCAGCTCCTGCAAATCAATTTCCCAAGCTGATGCCAACTGCAAAAAGAGTTGGTCCAGTGTTGCACCTTCCCAGTCCTCCGGTGGATCAACATTTGAAGAAGCTTCATGTAAATTTAGCAGAAGCTCCCTTTTCATTTCCACAGGAATGCCCAAGACATCAGATCCATTTTCCACAACAATATCTACCAACTGNTCAACTGTTTGATTTGCTTATTTTTGTCTGCAATTGAGATTTCCAAACTTTCCAATTCATTTTCCAGTACTGTCGATTCACTATTTTGTTGTGAATTGTCTTGTTTATGCTATTCACTGTCTTCTTTCANCTTGTAATATTAATTTCGCTTATTTTGCGAGTTATGAAAGGTCATCTTCTCTAGTGTTATTCACATGTTTCTTTAATCTTCTTTTCTTTGAATCACTTATTTCCTTATACACGGGAAACAAACTTGTTATCTTTTANATACGGCTTTAAAACGCATCGGACAATAGGTATAAAACTCAAATTCATCAAACCCTTCACACACATTATATCAATTACCAAGCAATATGGCATCGTGTCACCACAATCCATCCCCTTAAGACCAAATGTGCCTGACCAACCTGATGTGGGATCCAGAGGATGATTCTCACCGTGCTAACTGCCACCTGTTAAGACACCGCCAGCCAAACCGTGGCACGCTAATGGAAGCACAGACCACGTGGCCTCTACAATGAGAGTATCAATAACTAATACCATTTGTAATGGCTCGGACCTGCATTATACATTATTGTCCCCATAGTGCTAGGCCAGCAAGGTATTAAAACGAGTTGCACAATGAGAGTCTCTACACTCAAAATTCTCAAGCAATTCACACTCACGTCACCAAATGATGTGATACTAGATTACCACAGAGAAAAGAAAAGCTGATCTTTCATTCGATCACGAAGGAACCAATTTGCCCCATGATCCTTTGATAGGAACAATATCGATTTTTTTTTGCCACGGACAATGATGATAGGGTAACAATCTTTTAGCCAAAATGTTAGAATCCTCAATCCTGTAAAGCAACATTTGATATTGAAAGTTGGTGGTCCACTTGTGAGGAGTTCTTATTCAATCCATGTTTACGTGATTAGGGTATTACAAAATTGCTACCTCATCAAAAGTAATGATCAAAAACAGGGAGGGCTCAAAATTTCACTTCCATATCCATTCTAGAAGATATGACCCGTCCCATTTCTTTTCTTTATCCCCTATTTTGTTAAGCCAAATGCACCTCATATATTTTACAAAAATGAATTAGTAGTTTCTTCTTCTTCTTCTTTGCTTGTTTGAAAGGTAAACTTTTCCCATTNACCAACTGTAGAACAGGTAGCAAAAGAAAACCAGGAGTGATTTCAAATTCAGGAAAATCTAAGTTATTCAAAAAGAAGAATATATCTTATGACAGCTGCACAAGAGTGAACTGAAATCTGAAGACTATACAACAAGATCCCATATGAGAATACTAACAAGTTATGCATCACGTCTCGGATTCACATTGTACAACATTGTCCGCTTAGGACTAGGCCCATACGGCTTTAAAATGCATCGGACAATAGGTATAAAACTCAAATTCATCAAACCCTTCACACACATTATATCAATTACCAAGCAATATGGCATCGTGTCACCACAATCCATCCCCTTAAGACCAAATGTGCCTGACCAACCTGATGTGGGATCCAGAGGATGATTCTGACCATGCTAACTGCCACCTCTTAAGACACCGCCAGCCAAACCGTGGCACGCTAATGGAAGCACAGACCACGTGGCCTCTACAATGAGAGTATCAATAACTAATACCATTTGTAATGGCTCGGACCTGCATTATACATTATTGTCCCCATAGTGCTAGGCCAGCAAGGTATTAAAACGAGTTGCACAATGAGAGTCTCTACACTCAATTCTCAAGCAATTCACACTCACGTCACCAAATGATGTGATACTAGATTACCACAGAGAAAAGAAAAGCTGATCTTTCATTCGATCACGAAGGAACCAATTTGCCCCATGATCCTTTGATAGGAACAATATCGATTTTTTTTTGCCACGGACAATGATGATAGGGTAACAATCTTTTAGCCAAAATGTTAGAATCCTCAATCCTGTAAAGCAACATTTGATATTGAAAGTTGGTGGTCCACTTGTGAGGAGTTCTTATTCAATCCATGTTTACGTGATTAGGGTATTACAAAATTGCTACCTCATCAAAAGTAATGATCAAAAACAGGGAGGGCTCAAAATTTCACTTCCATATCCATTCTAGAAGATATGACCCGTCCCATTTCTTTTCTTTATCCCCTATTTTGTTAAGCCAAATGCACCTCATATATTTTACAAAAATGAATTAGTAGTTTCTTCTTCTTCTTCTTTGCTTGTTTGAAAGGTAAACTTTTCCCATTTTGTTGCTGGCTGGTTGAACCCTGGAAGCTGACTATGCACTAGGGATTTGCCTAGAGAAGCAGAACAATTTTTACATTTAATTGACATTTTTTTTTTGGCAGGCCATTAATTAAGCCCACACGTCTCCCTTGATTGAAACTAGTCCCTTGATGGACAAGACTTGGTTTGTCTGAGGCTAGTGCCCGTGATAAGTCTTCTCCAAGTGGTGAAGCTAAAGAGATAGGTGTACTCAAGCTACAAAAATCTCCAATGTCGATCTTCAATCCTACCTAAGGAGAAACGTATAGTGTTTCCTAGCCACTATATGTCTGCTTCCTGTCAACTATACAAAATATCATAGAATTATATTCCAGCATGTTCCCAGGATTAAGTAATGTCATCTCTGAGAATGATAGTAGCATGCTATATGATGCATTATGGTATTTCCCAGCAGGGATTACGAGTAATGCTTTTTTCAAGACATATGACCTTGTTTATTGTTGATTGCTGCTAAGGCTGTACTAACAGCGCTATCCTAATGAAAGCAAAGCACTTTGAGTACCAAAGTATTACAAAATGTTATCCAATAGTACTCAGGACGCTATGCGTACGGCTTTTTGACAGTAACTTTTTGCAATGATATGCCCAGGACTTTTTATAAATAAAAAAAATCACGTTGTAAAAAATCTACAATACTAGAACTAGCCCAGATAAAGAAACAAAGATACAAAGTTAGATGATGCAATACATACCTGCTGAATCCAAGATAAACATATATCGGACAAGTTTTGCTCCATTAGAAACTCCGCAACAGCATGCAAAATCTCACTTGCTACCTCACTTGAGAGTTGATCAATTACAGGGCCAGATCTGTCCATTAGCTTCACAAGCAAGTTATCATCCCCAGTAGACAAAACTTCTGCAAAAGCTGAATCCATGTCACCCACGTGAAATGCATCCATTGCATTGCTCCAAGATGTCCAGACTGGGTCACGCTCTTGCACAATATTGTCATCCCCTAATGCCTCAGCCGTCAACTCTGGAATCCCAGCTCTTGCAGTTCGAGCAGTTCCATTGTCCTCACCAGCCACCCGAATTGCTTCCAAGGTTGCCTCATCCTTTGAAGCTTGCCAGACACTTCTTGCAGAAGGCCCCTCCCCATACCTAACAGGTCCAGCTCCTTTATCCCAGGCTCTCCTGCTGCCAACCTGATCGTTCTCATTTTCTGATTTGGGTGACCTAACATCTATAGAACCANTAAAACGAAAAATATGTTGCTGTATTGGTTACCATGAGATGAAGTTTTCTGGTTGTCTGCAGCTCCATCTTCTTTTCCTGCAATCTTCTTCCACAGCTGCAATGCCTCTGCCATACTGTCTCTTGCAGGTTTTATCTGAAACATAAGGCAATCATGTTAATTTTCTTATTAACTTGGAAAAAAGTAACACTGTGTTTGGTATGGTGGGAAATTGGGTGAATGGAAAATGGAGGGTGGAAAATAGGGGGATAGGAAAGCTTTTCCATTGTTTGGTTTCAAGGGAAAAGTTGAAGGAAAGGAAAACTCAGTGCAAAGAAAGGGCAATGCTATATGGACTTTATTTAGTGACCCTATCATTCTCTGCCATTAGATTGATAGTAGACCTCATTATTAGTTGGGACCCGCTATCAGTTCAATGACTATGATCTATCATATCACCAAATAAGGTCACTAAATTAGGTACAAAAAGTATTTCCCGGAAAGAAAAACCATTCTGTCCAGCAAAATTTGTCCATCCAATTTTGGGCGGAAACTGGAGAAAAAGTGTAGGCTTTTGATAGTGGTTGAGTTAAATTACCAGTATACCCCTAAATTCAAGTCCTTCCAAATGTGTGCACAATATGTCTTATTTGATGAGTTTTGCTTGTAATTAGCCACGTGTAAGGTGAGTAGGTCTCCATCTCAAGCTTTGTACTTGATCAGTTGAAAAATAAATCTTAATTGGACGTAATTTTGTATCCATACTTTTTCACTTGTGAGCATACGTNTAGAACCACCACCTGGAGCTCTCCTAGATCCCATTTGCCCACTTTTCCCATAGGAGTGGAAGTCCCAACCTTCAGAAGCATCAGATCTCCAAGGAGGGCCCCTACCCCTCATGCCAGAAGCAATACCACCAGACGAGGAAAACCTTTCGCCAAAGGGAACACGCCCATCCCCACCCCTCCCCACCTTGGCACTGGAGTAGTCAGAGAAGCCATTATACTTGCTTAGATGTCTATTAGAAGATCCCTCAAACCCCACCATAAAATTACCACCTCTCCGACCAGCTGATATTGACAAATCCCGTGCCATATCTTCAACGACTCTCTCAAGACCACGTACTCTACTCTCTAGAGTCACCATGCTATCATGAGACCCACCCATGAAATCCTGCATTATAAGATAATGTTAGGAAGAAAACAGATATAGGAACCACTTTTGCCATGCCACTTAACTTAGCACACCTGCAACATGTTCATTAGATGAGCTTGTTGCCTCTCCAGTTGTAATAATTGCCTCTGGATAGCCAACCAATTCCCTCTGTTATTCGTAAATCCCTCAGACTGACCATCAGTTTTCGAGAAACCCACACGAGTACTTGATGATTCCCTCTGATTTAAATCACTCCTATCAGCTATATCTCGTTGTCTAGAAAATGTACCGGCAGTTCCCCTATCAATGTTACGATATTTGAAGAGGACAGATCCATCATCTGGCTGGCAGTGACCCTTTAATCTTCCACCTGAATTGCTACCATTTGGCTCCGATTCTTCCTCATTATGTGTTTCAGAGGTGTTGAGACATCTGCGTGGGACCACCACTTCTACAGGCAAATCATCCGAACCCCTTGTTTCAAGATTGTGGAAGAATTCTGGGTTCAATTCTTTGTCAGTCAATGCCGGTGCCTTCTTCTTTAGTATCCCAACTGCTTTATCTAAAATACTGGTACTCTTCACTTTGGAAACAGAATTATCAGGGGATGGTCCACCGGACGAATCCTTTGCCAGGGTCTCGGTTCTTCTCCCACTAGGATTTGGAAGGTCCTTCTCTGACAAATCAGCAGTTTCAGAATTTTCAACATCTGAAACTGGACAGAAGAAAAACAGTAAAAAATAAGTCAGGAAAAGGCTGATTAAAGAACCATTAAAACGAAAAATATGTTGCTGTATTGGTTACCATGAGATGAAGTTTTCTGGTTGTCTGCAGCTCCATCTTCTTTTCCTGCAATCTTCTTCCACAGCTGCAATGCCTCTGCCATACTGTCTCTTGCAGGTTTTATCTGAAACATAAGGCAATCATGTTAATTTTCTTATTAACTTGGAAAAAAGTAACACTGTGTTTGGTATGGTGGGAAATTGGGTGAATGGAAAATGGAGGGTGGAAAATAGGGGGATAGGAAAGCTTTTCCATTGTTTGGTTTCAAGGGAAAAGTTGAAGGAAAGGAAAACTCAGTGCAAAGAAAGGGCAATGCTATATGGACTTTATTTAGTGACCCTATCATTCTCTGCCATTAGATTGATAGTAGACCTCATTATTAGTTGGGACCCGCTATCAGTTCAATGACTATGATCTATCATATCACCAAATAAGGTCACTAAATTAGGTACAAAAAGTATTTCCCGGAAAGAAAAACCATTCTGTCCAGCAAAATTTGTCCATCCAATTTTGGGCGGAAACTGGAGAAAAAGTGTAGGCTTTTGATAGTGGTTGAGTTAAATTACCAGTATACCCCTAAATTCAAGTCCTTCCAAATGTGTGCACAATATGTCTTATTTGATGAGTTTTGCTTGTAATTAGCCACGTGTAAGGTGAGTAGGTCTCCATCTCAAGCTTTGTACTTGATCAATTGAAAAATAAATCTTAATTGGACGTAATTTTGTATCCATACTTTTTCACTTGTGAGCATACATTGTTTTTCCAAACCAAATTATAAAGTGTATTTTTATAGCTAAAACTCAATTTTATGGGAGGATATAATAGTAAATTAAATTTATTTTTGTTTTCTTTCCTCTCACTTTCTCTTCAATAACAAATAATAAAAAATTAATCCTTTCAACTTTCCATCCATCGTACCAAACAAACAAGAGGGAAAAAGTATTTCTTTCATTCAAGGATGGAAGTCTTTCCCTCTTAATTTTGCTTCCTTCCTATTTTCCATGCCTTCTAAACAAACGCATCATAAAATTTCGATGGAGTGTCTAGTACAGAATACAAAAAGGAAAACATACTTGACATACAACTATTGCCTATTGGTCACGTATT